TAGTGAAAAAATGCTGCACTACAGTATTTAGAAAGGACATGTATACTGTTTGGCAAAGAACCGGGAAATTCTACTCTCTAAAAGTCACTGTAAAAACATTTAAAACTTACTTTGTTTTTGCAATTATTGTCTTGGTAAAAGGAGAAGGTTTGACTGGGATGGGCAAGGAAGAAGAAAAAACAACTACTTGTTACCTATTATTAATTTGATTTTGGGGGTTTTTGAACACTCTTAAGCATATCTCCATTAAAAGCACATTTAAAAAAATACCTGATTGAACTTAAAAGTAGTATTTAAGAGAGCTATTGAACATAAAGGAGTAAGTAATTTCAAGTCTGCATTTGAAAACCAGAAATCTTGTCAATGGCCTAGGGAATTAGGCACTTGCTAAGGCTTCCCAGTGCCATAGTTATTATCCAGACAAACCATTCTTGTTCTTACTCTTTTCTGAGTCCTCAGTGTATCTGGATCTCCATGAGTTCCTTCAGTGTTACTGCACTATATGCATGTTCATAAACTCGTGTATCACATTTCTTTCCCAGAGATAAAGCATTTGTCCATTTGAAATCCTTCAGGGACTCAACTCAGTATGCACCCTTAGTGCACTCTCCTGATGTGCTGTTCAACTGGGCTCCTTCTAAAATGTGGAAGCAGCTGCCTCCAGACAAATGGAGGTAATGTTCACTCAATTACACAATAAGCTAGCAAGCATAGCAGTTATCAAGAACATACCAGACAGATTCAGTTCCCCTGCTGAAGGTCATCTGGGCCCACTGCTGTGAAAATATTGCCCAGAAGTAGCTACTGCCCTCAGAAAGTGCCTATAAACAGGCCCCTGATATATGAAGCAGTCATTAGGTAAAAATCGTAAATAACACTCCCCAAGGAACCTTCTGACTACCAGAAAACAAGAACCTGCTCCCTCTTCACAGTTGAAATAATCCGGAAAAATCTTTTTGGGTGCCAAATTTTTGTAGAATAACAGACAACTCTCCCTACTCCCCCACCCAAAACTCAGTGGTGATCTTCTAAGCTTAACTCTGCTTCTCTAAGTCTTGCTGCATGCCAAGAACCCTACCTGATCACCACTGACTACCAAAGACTCTTCTTCTCCAAACCCCTAGTTCCAGTGCTGCTTCAATGGAGGCACACTCATATTTCCACTCTGGGCACACTAAAGAACATGATAGGGAATTAGGTAACTGGTAAGGCTTCTGAGTGCCACACTCCTGAGTAAAGCTCTTTTCTGGTTACTCTTCATTCAAACCAGGTCAGGTTAAAAGACAAATAAAGGTATTTACACACAACTCCCAAAACAGACAGTACTGGTAAACAGGCAACCACACTAAAAATCTATATACCCTAAGACAAAAGTGGAAAAGTTCATTTTTCTCCAGCTGGTTTGCTATGGCCTTTTTATCAGCTGTGACCATTAGGATTCTGTTTTCTGTCTGTATTACACATGAAGTTCCATCTATTAGAAAGAAAATTACTCTCAGGTGACCATGACAGCTTTTAGAGCCAATCTCTCCTTCAAAATCCTCAGCTGGATGAGTCAGATTAGTTTCAGAGTGAAAAGCTAAATTGATGTAATTTGGGAGACAGTTGTGCCATATTTCTACACTGAAATATATAGTGTTTTACTTCATACTTATGTAAATGCATACATTTGGGTTTTGGCTCAAGTTTCATATTCTGTACCTGGCTGCTTGCCCCAACAAGGGGTAAAGTTCTCACTCTTTGGTGACTCAGTCTGTATGTTTCAGTAATGAATCTTTTTAACCAACATTTGCATTTAATTTCACTCTGTACACAAACATACATACTTGATACAAATGTCTAAATAGCATGAATATATGTAGGCTGCTGGGCACAACAATATTTAACCACTTTGGAATGACAAGAGGTTGCCAATATGTCCAAAAACTCTCATCCAAGGACTCTTTAAAAAGAGCTCCTATTATTAGAATGCTTCAGCATGATGCAGGAGATGTGATCTGCATCCCCCAAGCAAAGGAAGGAATTAAACTTCAGTTTCATACATCCAGATGAATGCTTCAGCAATTCCTTAGTTTTAAAAATTTTTTAAAACCCTGCCTTGAAAACAAGATGCTAGAACGCGTATCAAAAATGAGCAAAGATACATCTCTCTGACTCTGAACAACAGCTAGATTTACGGCAACAGACCACTGCTCCGCTACTTCCTACTGAGTATAAAAGATTTCCCACTCAAGAGTGACAGATCAGGCTTTTCAGCATTATCTATACTTAAAGAGCTTAAATGGGATTCCAGATTCCCCTTAAACCTTAACTATCACAATATCAGCTTTTAGGTGCTTATATCCCTCTTTTGATCTAGTTCAAAACATTTCCTTTTGCCTAAATCTCATTTCTAGAGAAAAGGATATTTAACTGCCAAGGCATTCAACCACTTGTTTTCATCAAATGTTACAATGAACTACCCAAGATTATTTCCCTTTCTGACTCTGCTCACAAGAGAAAGCAAAGTAAAGTAGGGAGAAATCGGTGCTGCAGAAGATTATAAGTACTCCCATAACGTGTGGCAATCTGACACAGCAATGAAACAAGACCCTTTGTCACCAAAAGCCTAAGCTGTGAGTTCCCCACCACTGGCAAGCACTGTTACAACATCTTGTTATCATATCTCTTTATCATATGCATCACAGAATAGAATAACCTCAATGCTTGCAGAATTTGTGGGTCTTTGGTGGTTTTTTTTTTTAAGGCAAGAGAATGAGAAACAGAAAAATTTGGGAATGAAGAAATGTTACGTTGTCTCTGTTACCTGTTACTCCTCTCTGCTGTCAGTGATTCAGGTTCACCGTGAGTACCCAGTATAATCGCATAGTGCATTCTAACTGGTTATGCCTGTGTAATGCTGCTGGTGACCCTAAAATTTACATATGACTGGTAGCGTTATATGAAGCCTGTGAGATCTTGTAATTGTACCTTAAGATCTGATCTGGCTTGCAAAACCTGTGGCCACACAGACACACACAGAGAAAAAAAAAAGCCTGACACTGTTTTGTTCTGAAGGGTTGTTTGACACTGTTTGGTCCTGAAGGGTTTGTGGTGAAAATCCAATTAAAAAAAAAAAAAAAATTAAATGGACTGTAGCTGATCAAAGAAGAAGTAAAATATTATAAAGGAAGAAGCTCTGTTACATTACTTTTACTGCCAGTTTTCCAAGCTAGTTTTTCTATTAGGAGTTAATAGCTGATTTAAGACCATGTTTTCTTCTATACACTTATCTGTCTGCCTTCCTTTCTTTCTTCCATTCTTCATTGTCCTTCCTAATCATGCCAAAACTTGCTATGTTTCCCAAATCATTTACCCATATTGATTTCACCCAGGTCTATGTTACAAAACACATGCCAGTATAATTAGAACCATATCTACATAACGAGTACCAGCACCTAACATAACTGCATTTAATTAAGATGGTATGGGTTATTTGCTAAGCACTTTGTCAATTCACCTCAGCTTGCCTATATGAGATACTCGCTCTGTGGAAACTACTTCAGTTTTTAAATGAGTTAGGGTTACATGGGAAAAGAATGTATTTGGTTTAGTCTGACAGGGAGAGGGAGAAACTTCTTTTTTTTTTTCAGCTGTGCTATTTGCTGTGTCAAAAATGGGAAACACTCCATGTTTATGGTATATGTTACTAGTTCATTTGGTATGGAGCTATGTTAACATCTATGTTATACGGAACTTGTGGTCTGGTTGAGATGCTTAATAGTACACAGGAAAATTAAATATTGAAAATTAATTTGGAGAACTGTGTTTAAACTTGCTGTAGGACTCCTGGGCCTTTGTTCAGCGTTTTTGCACAGGGAGAACATGAATGTGATGAGGGAATGATGAAAAAGGGGAGATAAAAAAGAAAGCAACATTTCGGTGACAAAATCAAATTGTAGAAGTACATGAGGGAAAGAGCAGTTTAACGCCTTTTCTCTCTGAACGGTTTCAACCCATTTCCTATTAGCAAAGAGAAAGTGTTTAGAAAGTTGCTAGAGGTCAGAAGCCACAGCTGGAATCACAGGTGGCAGTAAGCAGAAGGACAGATATAGAACTTTGTCCAGCTGCACCTGCTCAGCAGCAAGGCAGTGCCTTACTCCTCACTTGGGTTGGTGCCCTCATCTACCGCAGCCCGTTAAGAGCAACGTACCTGTGACCTGAGCCAGCAGTCAGCTGAAGGGACAGAGAACGCGGCAGGCGGCAGCTAAGCGCTCTTGGAGGGAAGTGCTTTGGAAACGAAGACCCTCACGGAAGACGGAGACTCCCTTTCCACACTTCAGCACAACGTGCTGGAGCGAGCAACCCCACCGCCCGAGGACAGCTTTCACACCTGCTGCCCGGCTACGAAACCAGGGCTGGGGCTTTGGCTGAGGAGAAGGGACGATTTCCTCACGGGAGGGACGCGGGCCCGGGCTGAGGCGAGCCTGCCGCTGAGGGGACGGCAGCTCCCCGCGCTGCCTCCGGGCGGCGCGACACCGCCGCGGCGGCCGCGGGAGGAACCGGGGCGGAGGGGAACCCTGGTGTTTATGCTAAGACAAAAAAAATAAATTACTGCGCCCTCGGTGCGTACGCTGCTGCCGGCAGACCTCTCGGGAGCGCGGCCCGCACTGCGGACACCGCGCTCAGGGCGCCAGCTCTTTCCCGCCCCGGGGGGCGCTTGGAAGCGGCCCGGGCAGACCGCGTCCTGCCTCGACGCTGAGCGATACTATCTCACGGCGGGGGGGGGCTGGGGGGGAGCAGAGGAAGCCTGGTTCTTTCCCGGCGCAACGGCAGAAAGGGGTTTGCTGGAAAGTGGTACGCTCCTCGTCTAGGCCGGGTGCCCGAAGGACTCGGCCTCGTGTTTGTCCGCTTCCTCTGTTTCCCCCCCTCCCGCCCCGCGCTAGGTGGGAGAGGCGAGGCGTCTCCCCCAGCGCATGCGCGGTGAGGGCAGGCGCTCAGTGTCAGAGGGGACGGAGGAGATGGCGGAGCCCGGCGCGGGCCGGAGCGGCGCTGGGGCGGCGGCGATGGCGGAGGGCGACAGCCAGGGGATCGACAGCGTGGCCGGAGGAGAGGCCGCCGCTGCGTCGTCGTCGTCGCCGCCGCGCTCCCCTCCGGCGGCCGTTGCGGGGGGGGGCGGCGGGGCGAAGCCGCTGAGCGCGGCGGAGTACGCGCGGCGGGTGCACCAGTGGCTCTGGGACTCGTACTGCGGGTACCTCAGCTGGCAGGGCTGCCTGCCCGCCCTCCTCGCCGCCTCCGCCGCCGCCGCGCCCGC